TCCCTCACTACCATTTTTTCCTAGAGAAATGTGAGATATCTCCAAAATGTTAACATTAAAATATTGTTTAAGTATAAAAATACAGCTAGCTTTATTTTTCATCCCATCTAATGCTGCTTGTTTATTCTTTCTAAAATCATAATTTCCACATGATTAATATTTTAAAAAATTTAAACTGTAAAGTTAAATAATGCTCTGTTCTTGGGCATAGTTTTTAAGCATTCCTTTTTTTTTTGCAACCCGAGCATATGGTATATAAGCAGTTTTGCAATATGTATGATGTACATACATGTACATATATGTATGAGGTTGTTTGTACAGTTAATAAGCATGAGCCATAAAATATTTTCTCATTTTCCTCAGTTCCTAAAGTAATTAAAAAAATTTTTAATGTGTCTTCCAGTCCCCTTTTCCTCTTAGAATACTAGCATTTTTTTTTAGAAAAAACACTTTGTATACTGATATTTGTTAAAATTGAAATACTAGCACTTTCTAAAGTTATAATTTAACTAAAGTCTCATACTATAAGATACTGTCTTCCTCCCCCAACTCCAATAGTCCTCTGCTTCCATATGAAACATAGCTCATTCCGAACAACCTCACTGTTTTGGTCCAAAGTATCTCATGGTGGTCAGTGGAGGGAAGTTTCCTTATAATTAGAGCTGTCCTAAAATGGAAGGGCATCCTCCAGAAAGAAGCCAGCTCTCCTTTACTAGACATCTTCAAGCAGAAGGTGAATGATCAACCACTTGTCAGAGATGTTGTAAAGGATGGACCTACTCTATGAGTGTTTGTTCAAGATATTTTTAACTTTTCTTAAAACTGCAGAAATTACATCTTCCTGCAAGTTACATATTTTGGAATCCATTGGGACTATCCCAACTACGAGTTTCTGTGAATCAATGATTCTCTTACCTACCACCCTCTTTCTTAGGGCTGTTGTATGCATGGATATCCTCATTATTCTCTAACCCCCTCCTCATTGGTCTCAGAAAAATTTCTAATTCTCTCTCACTAGCCTGAGTTCATTTGTGAACTTCCAATTGCCTCTAATCATGCCTATAAAAGCCTAATACGCAAGTTATATATTTGTTTCAAGAAAACAGAAAGCTACAAGTTTTGAAGTGAAAGAAAAGGACTAGTATTATCAATCTCAAAGGTACTTCAAAGTTCACAGAAGTATCTTTAGAATTCCCATAAGTCTCCTCTTGACTCCTCATCTTCTTTTATACATCAATTTTTTACTTAATCACCACTGGGTCTTCAAGATTTCAATTCCATTTTTAAAAATGTTAATTACTAATACTGTATTGTTTTTTATTATTTTTTTGCATCATAAATGCATAGTATTTCCAGTAGATGCTAAGTTAAATAGGCTTGGAACTTAACACCACTTATAATTGCAGTTCCCCATAAAAACCAACAACAAAAATTACAATTAACTTTTAGAAAACAAACCCATTTATAAATTAGAGACTTCTCATGTAAGCAGTATCCTAATTTATATTTCTCAACTTATATTTTCCTACTCCCTGTAACAATCCTTTGTCAGTCTCAAAAAAAAAAAATAGAAGTGAGGGGATTTTTTAATAACCCAAGAGAAAATATAACTGCATAAAGCAGTATTCTATCTGCTATCTTTTCAGTCTCCCTCAGCCCCCATCAAAATAAGGCTCACTATGACGTCTAGTTAATCTGCAGTTGGTAAAGGTTAGATATCGAGAGGCTAACAAAACATAAAATCATTTTAAGACTTGCCCTCGATTTCAGGGCTGCATGTCGAAATATTAGCTGCTACGGCCCAAGTACCAACACAAGATGAAAATGAGGTTTAAATTTATAAAATAATTTTTCAGTCTAGGGAAAGAAGTACTGTTTTTGGCACAGATTTATTATTGCACAACCAAATCAAGAAATAAGCAAACTGCAAAACCTTCTAGCAGAACATGGACAACGCTATATGTGATTTAAATCCTTATTGGCCTGCTATACATCACACAAATTATATGTTCCCAGTCTACAATGTGGGAATACTTACTTTTGCATATAAAATTTTGAGACCAGGAAAGGAGCTATGTCAACACAAAAACTGTTATTAGTTTCAGATCTGTTTAATAAGTCACAATCTGAAAGGGTCTCTTAACTGTATACAGATAACTCTTACATATACTTTCCCCAAGCCAGAGCTAACAATGGGAACAAACAGGATAAACGAATACAAAAGCTATTCAAGTTTTAGCAAGTCCTACTTTGTGTATAAAAGGCAGAATTAAACATAAAACAAATTTTGTAAGCTGTAGAGTTCATGTGTTTATTCAGTAAAGTTAGATAAGCAAAAGAAATGATGCTGACGCAATAACTACAAATTTAGTAAAATGATGCATTATATTCAATTGGCACATATGTAGATTAGTGTTTATTCAAATTTCTGAAGCACAGTAATTACTTTTAAAATGCCAATAAAAAATTCTCTAACATAATATATTTTTATTAATTCTAAATTATGTTTTTTTTTCTGGTTTAACAAATACACATGTAATTTTTAAAGATGTGAATCAACTTTATTAGAGATAAAATGCTAATTATTTAATTATTGTTTAATAAATGTTAACTGTTTAATTGGACCTAATAACATCTTGCAAAACAGAATGACCTAAACATTTTGCTTAATGAAAATGTAGCCCATAAAGAACTCTCTAATAATTAACATTATTCTTCTTCCACTACTCTACTACTACTACTACTACCACCACTACTACTATTACTACTTCATCTTCATATTCTATAGTATTGTTCCCCCTCCCAAAACCCCCCCAAAAGGAGGTAATACAAGTTTAAGTACCACTTTATAAGCAGTGAAATTGAAACTCCTGGGGTTAAGTGAATTAGATGCTCCTGGTTATAAAGCTAGTAAATGACAGAGGTTTAATACTTCAAACTCGAAGGTCAGGTTTTTCTACTACAGTATGGTGTCATATAATTCCAACTTACATTACATCATCTAAAAATTTTGTGATTTTGCATATCTTATCTGATCCTTACAACAGCCCTGAGCTCCATAGGTAGATACAAGCATTATTATCCCCATTTTATAGATCCAGAGACCAAAAGGTTATGGTACTCCCAAGGTCACACAGCTAGTTAAATGGGAGAGCTGGGTTTCAAACCCAGGTCCTCTGACTTCAGATTTGGTATTCTTTCTGCTGAACATACAAAATGAATGCCAATCAGATATAGTTTGAAGTATCAGTCAAGTGACAGGGAAACATCTGACCGCTTGAGAATGGTATGTTTCTAGGACAATCTTATGTGTCTTAATATGATACAAAGAATTAAAAGTAAAGTTATATTCCTCGTAAAATGTGTAATTTCTTCATTATGATGGAATGCAACAAAACATCTTGCCCTTGGGTTGCTCTGTTTCAGCCAAAACAAATGCAAATGGCTTGTCGGATGACAGCTGTTTGATAAGGCTCCTCTACAAGACCTGCATGCTTTACTTTTTTCCGTGAAACTTGGGATGAAAGGCAGAAGGCAGGAAGAGAATTAATGTAGCATACAGTCTAAAGGCAATGCTACAACCGTGATTAAGTAGAAAAGTTAAAAGGCACAGATTTTCCACAGCTTCGCTGCGTGCAACCCATCCGTGTAACAAGTTGACAGGCCTAGCGCGTCAGCTCCATCATCCTCTCCGACAGCTAAAACGCAGCATTGCATCCCTTTTCAGAGAAAATTTGCGTCTGCACCATGAAGCGTTGTACATTATTTCTTAGCACTGCAGGGGGCTCAAGTCCATATGGAACCTTCACAAATATTACCACAGATCAAACCAGCGGCGTTTCGAGGCAGATTTGACATACCTATTTAAATGAACAGCAGGGGTCCTCGGGCTGCCTCAGGCTGTGCAGGAGAAAACCTCTGTGGAAAGCCTCGGCTGCAGCTCCATTACTCAGCAAAGACACACTCTACATTTATCATTCATTTCATTTCTGCCAGGGCAAGAAGCTCATTTGCCCAAGGTCAACAAAAAATGAAAAAAGGGTTGTTTCCCTATCCCCCCACCAAGAAATGAATGTACCTGACAAGTGGGGATTTTGTCCTTTGGGTTTGTGGAGCACAAATAAACACCAGATAATCTAAGGACAGGAAAGCTTTGTACAGAATAGGAATGGCTGAAATCTGATATCAGATTTGGGAGGAGAGGATGGAGTATGTCTGATAAATACTTGAGTAACTTTTGTATAAGCACGAAATGGGTGAAATAAAACTTGACAGGATCAACTTATTTTTAAATGTTCAATAGCTTCTTCCATTTATAATAAGTGGCCATCTTTCTACAGGATAATTCTGGGAAGTCAAAGAATCTGCATACTATCAATGTCCATAGCTGTGAAAGAACTGTTCATAATATGGCAAAAATGAAGTTGGAAGTCAGAGTGAAATAAGCTAATATCTGAGATAGCATTATTATAAAGGTAAATGGAGTAAGATTCCAGACGCAAACTCATTTGTACCCATGAGTACGAAAATCTTAGATGAACAATTTAAAAATGTAATTAGATGCAATTGTCTAAATTTCTCTCACGTCAAATGCCTTAGTGAACCTAACAACTTTGTTATACTATATCCCTTCTTTTCTGCCTTGCTGCTTTACTAGACATCTTATATAATGCCTTTTTCAAAAAACCTAACTCTCTAAGCAAGCCATAATATAAAATAAAAGAATTGGTATAAGAAAATTCAATTAACTATTAAAAGAAGTTATTTAAAAAGAAAACAAGCCATTTAATTAGAAATTCAATAAATGGCACATTTATTTAAATTAATGGTAGAAATGTTAAACTTTATCTCTAACAAGTCTAAAATCAAACCTCTAGAGGTCTTATCATTGTCCATTACGAAAATAAGTAGGGAAATTCTGAAGCTTCTGAAAGCTCTGATGTAATTAGTTAACTTAGATTGTAGCTAATATTATTTACCATAGAATATGATGTACTTACGTGCATTAATGAGTAATATGCTGGCTTGCCAGTATAAAATAGAAAGTGAAATGGACGGCCATCTTCTCCCCATTGGCTTGCTAAATGAAAAAGCCAGATGAGACAAAAAAAAAAAAAAAAAAGAAAGAAATGTATATCAACTATATTGAATTACAGTTCTAAACCACTTTTATAATGCTGATTAATATTTAAAATACAAAGCTAAAAAGAAATATCATGGATATTCAGTTAGATGCTTAATAATTTAGAACATATCTAAATTTTATTATAATGAGAAACTGTAATATTCTAACATAATCATCTTATATATTTCACCATATGATAGATTCTTGCTATGTCTTTTTTTTTATTCTTGTTATGTCTTAAATAAAAGTTTATATGAAATGGGAACTATCATTTTATTACAAAGAGAAATATTAAATGTGAATTTATTAGCCTAAATGCATCCTAAACTGATAAATAAATTAAAGGCTACATAACACATTCTTAGCAATAGAAACCATCATAATAAAATGTAAGGATTTAGGTGAAAAAGTTTTGAAAACTGAAGCAATATGCGAATCTGTAAATTTTTCTTAACTAAAGATCTTATTCTTGCACATGCTTTTCTGTACTGTACTATTCCTCTCAGTGCAGGTGGGTCAATGTACAAACCTCCCAGCTTATTCACTTTTCAAACACAAGTTCTAAAGGCATTAATTAGAAATTAGGTCTGTAATGACAAATTATTCCCATGGACAAACAACTTAAAAAACTGAGTTCTAATATGGGGAAATTAGCACAGAATTGAAAATTAAAAGAACACTTTAATTTAAAAATAATACTTTAAAAACGATATTTGTGTCTAACATAAGAATAGTTCCCTAATTTAGAGAATCTAGAACATTGCTGATGACAGGTGAAATTCACAAAGGACTATTCATTTGCAACATTTATTACATTTAAAAAATATCAACTCCTTTAAGTTCTAATTTAGGCATTGATATACTAGTTCTAGAACTCTTAAAAATTGTATTAAATAAAAAGTAAACTTGAACTACAGCCTAAATTGTAATGCTTCCATGTTGCAAAATACAGCTAAAGAAATGGAATTGTGATGAACAGGCTGACTTCAGAAAAACCTGGAAAGACTTGTATAGTCTGATGCTGAGTGAAATGAGCAGAACCAGGAAAACGTTGTACACAGTAACAGCCATGTCGTGTGATGACTAATATTGATAGACTTAACCCTTATCAGCAATACAAGGATCTAAGACATCTCCAAAGTCCTCATGATGGAAAATGCTATCCACATCCAAAGAAAGAACTATGGAGTTTGAATGCAGATGGAAGCATATTATTTGCTATTTTTTTTCTTCTGTTGTGTTTTGTTTCCTCTTTCCGGTGGTTCCTCCTATTGGTTCTAATTCTTACTTACAGCATCACTAATGTGAAAATATGTTTAATAGGAATGTATATGTATCAGATTGTGCGCCATCTTGAGGAAGGAGGTGAGGAGGAAGAGGGAGAAAAATTTAAAACTCAAAAAGCTTATAGAAGTGATTGTTGATAATTCAAAATAAATTAACTAATAAAAAAAGAAATAAACATGAGAGAACAATCATAAAAGACTAAACAAAAAAAAGAAATGAAATTGTAGAAAAATGGGACAATAAGATTACTTAAAGAATCGATCAATAAACATATTAAATATATAATCAATCAATCAATAGACATTTATTAAGTACCTACTATACTCTAGTCACTGTGCTAAGTGATAAGGATACAAAAAGAAGCAAAAGACAGTCCCTTACTTCGAGGAGAATACAATCTAATTGAGGAGACAACATGCAAACAAATAAATACAAAGCAAGCTATATAAAGTATAAATAGGAAATAATTTACAGAGAGAAGACATTGGAATTAAGAGGGGTTAGGGAGGGCTTCCTGTAGAAGGTGAGATTTTATTTATACCAAGAACCTGCTGTGATCACAAAATCAGAACTTTAAGGAACTTCAGAGGTCATCAGTTTACACGCAAAATTATACTTTTAAATAAAAATTTGTCATGAAGCGACCCGGCACGAGTGAGCCCATATTTAAAAAGTGATGTTTAAAATGTATCTAAAAGGGGGCAGCTAGGTGGCGCGGTGAATAGAGCACTAGCTCTGAAGTCAGAAGGACCTGAGGTCAAATCCGGCCTCAGACCAAACACCTGACACTTACTAGCTGTGTGACCTTGGGCAAGTCACTTAACCCCAATTGCCAAAAAAAGGGGGGGGGATAAAAAAAAGGAAACAAAAATGTATCTGAAAGACGCAGAATGGAAGTGGGACAAATCCACTTAAAGAAGGGCATGGCAGGGAAGTGAACAGACAGGCTCCAGGAAGAAGAAAGACTTATTTTGTATAAAAGTAAGTAAGACTAATTCACTTGGCATTACTGGGTTAGTAACACAGATACCAAGAATCTTGAGTGGGGATAGGCCTGTAGTGACAGCCATGTTTTCTTTGATATTTGTCTTCATTAATCATAAGTAAAGTAGAAAAGGGGAAAAAAAAACCCAAAAGCAACAAGACATCCACTATATAAACTTTGTGGCTGTGCCCAAAATGAGAAACAATTATCTGCCCAGGAGACCATATTCCAGAGCTCAGAAGTGACTTTATATTCTACTAAAAAGCAAACCCCTAGAAAGCTGCACATACCATACCCTTCTGGGTATTAACCTGAAAAGATACAGCCATGACTGATATTTAGGTATTATACTTCTCTATCTGTACTGATCAATCTACAAAGAATGGTTAACTAATTCAGACAGTTATTTCAAGAGATATATTTTTTTAAAAAGCACAGAATTCTGAATTGTTAGCTTTAACTTCTTATTCAGTTATCCCATTTTTAAATAATTTATTTTTGATTTTCAACATTCACTTCCATAAGATTGAGTTTTAAATTTTCTCCCCTTCCCTCTCATTCCTCCTCCCCAAGATGGCGTGCAATCTGATATAGGCCCTACTTATACATTCACATTAAACATATTTTCACATTAGTCATGATGTAAAAAAAAATTAGAACTAATGGGGGGAACCACGAGAAAGAAGAAACAAAAAAACAACAAAAGGAGAGCAAATAGTATGCTTCGATCTGCATTCAGACTCCATAGTTCTTTTTCTGGATATGGATATCATTTTCCATTGTGAGTCTTTTGGAGTTTTCTTAGATCCTTGCATTGCTGAGAAGAGCTAAATCTATCAAAGTCAGTCATCATACAATGTGGCTGTTACTGTGTACAATGTTCTCCTGGTTCTGCTCATTTCACTCTGTATAAGTTCATATAAGTCTTTCCAGGTTTTTCTGAAGTCCACTTGCTCATCATTTCTTATACCACAATAGTATTCCATTACATTCCTACACCATAGTTTGTTCAGCCATTTCCCAATTGATGGGTATCCCCTCAATTTCCAATTTTTGCCACCACAAAAAAAAAAAACTACGACGAATATTTTTGTACATATGAGTCCTTTTCCTGTTTTTATGATCTCTTTGGGATATAGACCACGAAGTGGTATTTCAGCTATCCCATTTAACAACACCTGATGACAGTGTGGGTTACTATTTGGGCCCGGCTCATCTTGTGGTATCTACCAGAATTGCTGGCCCAGAACTTAAAAGCTATTAAAAGTTGCTACTGAGCTTCTACCTTGCAGATTCAACCATAGTCAGTGGCAGAAATTTCGCATTTTGATAAAATACTTTAGCTCAAATACTTCCATTACTAAAGTGTAGGTAGAATTCTGTTTTAATGGCCTCTGGGCTTCGTGGTATACTGCTAAAAACACTGGACTGCTATTAAAGAGACCTAGATTCTAATTCCAGCTCTACTACTAAATTGCCGGGCGACTGAGGACAAAAATCAACTTATTCCTCTGTGTTTTGTCATTTATTAAATGAGGGGGTGACCTACATGATTTCTAATCTTAACTCTTGTAGCTCTAAAATTATGAGATAGCAGACCCTTTGGGTATTGTTAAAATGGCCTAAAAATGCTAGGGATAGAGACTAAACCTGTGATTTCACTACAATGGAGTACTCTCAGAGTAGGCACTCCCCTCTATGAAGGCACAGCAGCACTGTTACTCTTAACTCAGAGAATGACTTGCTCAGGGTCACATAGCCATGCTGTTTTTTTTCTACGCTCCTTCCTACTAATATGGAAGGTTATTTATTGCAACCATATGCAAAAAAATAAACTATAGTCCTTACTTTTAAGTATTTGGTTTCAGTTTTCATATTTTACATAGATCAAATATTTATAAAAATAATTGGGAGAACAAGTGAGCAGAAAGTTACATAAAAGAGGATTGTTTGTCAATTCCAAAGCAATGCAATATTCCTGATTCGATTTAACAAGTTTTTAAAAGCATTGTTAGTCAACAAACATTTATTAAATGCTAATTATGTGAAAGATACTTTTAAGTGCTAGGAATACCAAAGGCAAAAAACAGTGCCTGTCTTCAAGGAACATACATTCTAATGGGGCAGATAACGTGTAAATAACTAGGTAGGTACAAGATACTGACAGTGCAGATGGAAGGTAATCTGAGGGAAAGGTACTAGCATCTGGCAGATAGACTTTTTGCAGAAAAGTGAGATTTGAGCAGAGCTTTGAAGGAAGTCAAAGAAACAAAGAGGTAGAGGTAAGGGGTCAGGGAACGCTAGGCATAAGGGACAGCCACTGTGGGGGAAGGGGGGTGGCCAAGGAAGGAAGGGAGTACAAGAGAGCATAGCAGGTGCAGGGATAACGGCCTGGAAAAGAACTGGGGGGAGGAGACAGTGTTGAGGGTGAAGCAGAGGGAATAATGTTAGGGAGAATCAAGGAAAGAGAAAGATGGAATGGTAGATTATAATCAGAGAATTATGAACAAAGAATGGAACACCAGTGATGGCAAGATCAAGGGGGTAACGATCCTTGGGTGTAGCTGAGGTGGAGCAAAGAAGCAAATAGGTCAAGGGAATTATATAGAGCGATAAACTGGGAAGTTAAGAATACTTTAGGGGACATCAACATGTACACTGAAATCCTTTAGCATGAAGGCAG